GGGGGGGGGGGGGGGGGGGGGGGGGGGGGGGGGGGGGGGGGGGGGGAGAGAGGCAAAGTAAAACCGTGTAGTGAGTTGAGATGCGCGGATTGGGGCGCAACTTGCATCATGCAAACTTAAACTTGACAAAGGTATCCCATGAGCTCAGTCAGTCGTTCGGGGACGCGGATAGCAGGAGGGTAGGAGTGTTGATTTATTTATTTTTATTTTTAACATGACTCAATGAACCATTCTCTATCCAAGAAAAGAGCCTCAAGATAGATTAGCAATGAATCCATAGCGTCAGCGAAAGTTCTGTTTTAGTCTCATGTGCGCCACGAAATGTTCGGGAGAGGGACGAGAAGGGAGGGACCACGATGACACAGAAAAAAGAAAAGAAAAAAGAAAGAATATACCCATGTATTTGGGTATTTTGTTACAGTATTGCATAATTTTGTTGGGTTATAAGAGGAAAAAAAAACATGAACGAAAGAAAGAACGGACGGAAATTTAAATTAAATCGAAAAATGCACGACTGATCCAACAGGTGCAAAAGCAACATAAAACAAGGTCCACAGGGAGTTCGAGCGACCGATAAACACAGGCGAGCGAGGCTGGGCTATGCCGCTGCAAAAAAATATCGAAGACCCGAACGGGAGAGGGGAAAAAAACAAAAATACGTAAAGGACAACTGAACAGAAGAGTAGGACAACAATCAAGTGGACATCAAACTGTCTTGAAAAAAGAGAGAAAAAAAAAACACATCACACATGCAACATGACTAGAATGGAGAAAAAAATATCGTAGAAACAACGGAACACGAACACAAAAACAAGAAAAACCCACGTGTGCCTTCTCGTGGATTTCGAGTTCGAGTGAACGCCTTCAAAAAAATATCGAAGACCAGAACGGGAGTGAAGAAAAAAAGAGAACACGAAAAGGACAACAACTAACCAAGCAGAGATCAAACTAGTTTTGAATAAAAAAGAAAGAAAAAGCATGACGCCCACATGCAGCGTGCTAGAATCGAGAAAAATAATAGAGAAAAACCAACACAACAACAAGCAAACGAAAAAAGAAAAAACCTAGTGTACCTTCTCGTGGATTTCGAGTGACCGCCGCAGGCATGGCTCAGCCATCGCGTCTCTCGCATCGCTCTAGGAAAAACAAACAAATAACAGCACCGCAGCAGCCGTGGGAGAGAGGGGGGGGGGGTAACGGATTGGGCACGATGGGTTCCAAAAAACGTACAACAAGAAAGGCAGTCTGCGCAACAATGACACCGCTTCTCATATCACCATCAAGGTATATCTATGGAATTCACAGCTTCATCTCACAGTAAATGTTGGTCACGGTTTCATGCGGCAAAAAAAAAAAATCGGGGAATCGGGGGGGGGGGGGGGGGGGGGGGGGGGGGGGGGGGGGGGGGGGGGGGGGGGGGGTAGGCGATGTGAAGGAACCCCGTTTGTCCTCGCGTAACGGCTGTTGTGGCTGATGCTGCTCGTTCATGTTGTCGTGAGACTGTCGTTCATGTTCATGGTAGCGTTAGTGTGGCTGATGCTGCTCGTTCATGTTGTCGTGAGACTGCTGTCGTTCATGTTCATGGTAGCGTTAGTGTGGAGGTGCACCTGTCGTTGACGATCATGCTGGTGTTGGGTGTGTTGACATCAGAATTTCCGGAAGACAAAACCAGGATTCTTGACCCGGACTCCCGTACCCACCACATGCCTCCACACAACGAAAACGACACTCCCATCCTCGCTGGATTGGGGCTAAATCGTCCCGGCTGGAAGGACAGCAGTAACAACAACAACAACAACAACAACAACAACAATAACAACAACAACAACAATAACAACAACAGAACAAATATTGAAAAAAACAAAAACTCTTACCTGCTCTCTGAGCATGGCGACAACGCTCGCCAGCAGAGCAACCGCACTCTCGCCCCGCCCCCCCCCCGCAGACCCCTCCCCTCCGGCGGCTGCAGCGGCGGCGGCGGTGGCGGTGCCCCCCCTCTCATCCTCACTCAAGGCACTCTCCAAGCCGCTCTCCCGTCGCTGAAAGCCGTTCTCGCGTCGTGTCGCTACCCCCCTTGTTCCATTCGTCGGAACCCCTTTCGCATTCATTGGGCCCCTCGGCGCCAATGCCGCGGTCGATCCGCCCATCCATGCCGGTGCTGGTGCTGGCGATCCTGGTGTTGTTGGGTCTTCATGTTGCCGGCGATTACAAGCAGACGAAACAAAATATAAGGTGAAATGAACATATTAGAGTGTGGACTGACGAGGCAGGTGCTGGTGCTACGATATTTGTACAATTGCTAACTTGTTCATAACGACGGCGAAATAACGCAAGTATGCATACGACAAAAATGGCTGTCTGCGTTGTGGGATGAATGACAGCAAAAGCATGTGGAACGATGTGTCAAACTAACCGATCCATGCCGGTGCTGGCGCAGGGGTTGCTGAGTCATCATTTCGCCGGCCAACCAAGCAAGAACGTAATGTGTGTGCTGTGAAATGAAAACAACAGGGCGTGTAACGCTGAAAAGTCACTGGTGCTGGTGCTGCTGACGTCTCATCAAGCCGGCGAAAAAGCAACAACAACAACAACAACAACAACAAATGTGCTAGTGCAAGGAGGCATGAACAGCAATAGAACCTGTTGAGATGCCAGGCGGTCGGTTCGAAACCGTACAAATATGGCCCAAACCGCACCCGTGTAGACACGGCGGCCGGTTCGAAATTTTCACCAGACAAAGGAAGGCAAGAATCGACCGGGATTTAAGCAAAACAAAGCAACGATGTGCTTCCAAGCATACACCCACGGCAGACACGGCCAACAGGCTTCAGAGGGGGAAACTAAGGCATCACAATCCGCCCCACCCAATATCTCTTTATGCCGGAGCGCCGGTCGAGCAACTACGCAGGTGAAACAGAACGGGTTGATAGTGACACATACTCGAGGGAGGTTGAGCCACTTACCGCACTCTTCCCCCTCAGCGCCATCGGTGGAAGAATCCTCCTCCGTGTCCTCCCAACTCGTCCTTCGGGGTCCTGGCGCGGCGGCAGGTCTTGCCACCGCTCCTAGAGGGCGACCGCGGCTGCTGCTTCTGCTCCGGGTGTCATCTTCGTCTAACCTGCCGCTGCCATCGCTGCCGTCATCGTCGTTGCCATCGCTGCTGTCATCGTCGTTGCCATCGCTCTTGTCATCGCTGTCGTCGTTGCTGTTGTTTCCTCCCGGTCTACCCGGGGAAAGCGGCCGACAAACAGACGCCGCCGCTCCGCCGCCGCCTGCGCCGCCAGTAGCGGCCGCAACCAGGCCGGGCAGCGGTATCGCCCCCGCCCACCGCGCCGGATTCACCCCCGACGCGTTCGACGGCAGCAGCCCCACCTCGGCGGCGCCAGGCACGGCAGAACCGGCACCGCTAAATGCGGCACAACCACTACCGCTTGACGCGGCAGTACCGTCACCGTTAGGAGCGGCAGGGTCAGGACCACCACCGCTGCCTTCGTGACCGCCACCGTCTCCGTCGTCACCAGCTACGGTAGCGGCGGCAGGAGCACCGGCGGCAGCGGCGGTAGCGCCAGCGGCGGTAGCGCCAGCGGCGGCGGCGGTGGATTCTTGTTTCTGTCTCGATTCAGCCTCGGCGGTTCGAGCGCTCACGGTCCCCGGCCGAACGAGCGCGCCGACGAAAGCGGCGTAATCTCCTCCCGACCCTTCGGCCAAACCACCCGAACCGGCACCGCCGCTGTGGCCGCCGCTGTCGCTGCCATCATCATCATCAGCAGCAGCAGCAGCAGCACCACCACCACCACCACCACTGCTGTTGCTGCTGCTGCTGCTGGTTATATCTGAGCCCTCACGGGCCTCCGTCCCCTGCCCTGCCGCCGCCACCACCGCGTTCAGCCCCGAAGCCGCGGCCATGCCGCTAGCCGTTTCTCCGGCACCAGCAGCACCAGCAGCATCGACGGCGGGGTCTTCCAGGCCCTCGTTCCTGCTGCCATCGGCGCCATCACTACCGCCACCGCCGCCGGCTCCGGCTCCGGTGACCGTCGCCGTGACCTCCCTCTGCTTCCTCCCCTTCGGCAACACGGCCGCCGTTGCTGCTGCCAGCGCGGAGGCCACCTCCTCCGACGTGAGCGGGCTCCCGTCGCCCCTCATCACCGTCCTGCCGACGTTTTGGTCGAAGAAGCGGCTAGCGCTACAGGCGGCGGGGAGCAGATCGACGCCGGCGACGCCGCTGCTGCTAAGGCTGCCGCTGCTGCTAAGGCTACCGCTGCTGCTGCTGATACTGCCGGCTCCTTCCCGAGGACCAGCACCCCCCCTAAGCATGGGGTTGACACTGCGGAACCCCCCTTCGTCGCCGCTGTTGTTGGCGCCGCCCGCCCCCGCTGTCTCGGGGGCGCAGTCCGCCTCCTTTTGTTCGTAGACGTCGTCCCCGTCCTCGTCGTCGTCGTCGCCGTCGACGCTGAACGGGGAGTATTGGGTCGATAGGGACGGGGCCTGAGAGGCGGGGACGAAGACCTCGCCTTTGTCCTTCTCCAGGACGGAGAGCGGCGACGGCGTCGTCGTCAACGAAGACGACGATCGGCCGCCGCGCTTGTTGTTCTTCTGCTTCGCGTCCTTCGCATCCTCGCGCCGACGCAGGTCTCCGAGCACATCGGAGCTTTCGTCATTATCGTCTTCGTCTTCGTCTTTGTCTTCGCCATCTTTGTCCCCGTCCTTCTTCTGCTCAGCGGCGGCGGCGGCGGAGTTGTCTTGTTCGCGACGCCGGTCTCCGAGCACGTCAGAGCTCTCGTGATCGCCGTCGTCGTCCTCGCCGTTGTAATCCTTTTCCTTGCCCTTCTCGTCGGTTGCGCCGCTGCCGCTGTAGTCCTCTCGCTTTGCCTTCTCCTCGGTGGCGGCGGCGGGGGAGACGGAGGCACCGTCGCTGCAATATTTATCTACCTCCCCGTCCTGACCGAATACGCTGCCACCACTAGCGCCGCTAATGCCGTTGACCCCGTTAACCTTTACGCCGTTGCCGAAGCCGTTCGCAAAGAAGCCGCTGCCGGCGCTGGCGACGCCAAACCCGCTAACGACGCTGCCGCCGCCGCCGCTGCCGAGTCCGTTAGCAAAGAAGCCGCCACCACCGCCGGCACCGACGCTAATGCCGTCGGTCTTGACGCCACTGCTGAAGCCGTTAGCAAAGAAGCCGCTGCTCCCGCTGGTGCCGTCGGTCTTATCGCCGCTGACGAAGTCAGCCATGACGCCGCTGTTGCTGAAGCCGTTGCCAAAAAAGCCGCCACCGCCGCTAGCGCCGTCAGCCTTGACGCCGCTGCTGCCGAAGCCGTTGCCAAAGAAGCTATTACCCCCGCCAACGCCGTCAGTCTCACCGCCGCCGCTACCGAAGCCGATAGCAAACAAGCCGCCGCCGGCGCCGCCTACCGGTAAAGTCGAAAACTTTCCCGGCCCCGATGGCGGCGATTGCGTGATTGCGGAGAGCGGGCCGGCGCCGGCGCCGCCGGTGTTGTCGAAACGGCGTGAATCCATCATGCGTAGGCGGTGGCCTGCAGTACGTACGGTGTGCGTGTGGAGGGGGGGGTGGGGTTAGCACAGCAGCACGGGGGAGAGAGCACGGCACGAGTGTCTCTCCGTCTCTCCGTCTCTTTCTGTCTCTCCGTCTCCTTCTCCCTGTCTCTGTCTCTTCTCTGTCCCTGTCTCTCTGTCGCTCTCCCGCTGTCTCTTGTCTCTCTCTCCCTCTCCCTGTCTTCCCTTCTATGCGCTCCAGGGTCCTTCCAGGCCAAAACCTGCAGCATCGACCGAGCTATGTACAACCGGTACATGAATAGACGAGAAGACACAACCAAACAAAATACTTAGGAATAAGAGGAAAAGAAGAGGCGTCCGCTTCCTCTCACCGCCGGGGGTGACGCAGTCTCCGAGCACGTCGCCGGTGGACCGCCGGCGACGGTTGTTCCTCCGCCTGGCCGCGGCGACGGCGGCACCCAGCGTCTTCCGCTTCATCCTCAGCCTCACGTCTCTCTTCCCACCGCCGCCGCCGCCGCCGCCGCCTTCGGCAGTATCGTTTTCGTGTTGGTCGTCATCACCCCCCGGCGTCGCTGATGATGACCCTGTCGACCCCGGGCCTGAGAGGAAAAGACAGAGAGAGAAGCCGTTCGATCATCAGTATCACAAGAACGAAAAAAAAAAACAAGGCAGGAAAAAAAAAGAAGACACAAAAAAGGAAGAAAATATATGACAAAAAACACTCACACAGCTAGCGCCCGCGTTCAAGAAACGTCACATTGAAGTCGAGCCTCAATTTATTTCTTTCGTCGCCCCCGTTCAGCTTCGGTCATTATCTAATGAGTTCAATGTACGTAGAACAAACGGCTAAGAATGTGCATGCCGTAGTCGTTAGACTATTGACCTCGCATCCCCCTCCAAAGCCGGAACGGAGCACGCCTGGTTCTCACCGAACCAGGCTCTCACATCGCCAAGCGCGAAGCGACGTGCGGTATTTGTCGAGCCGCATGGAGGGCGCGGAGGGGGAGGCGCGAAGGGGGAGGCGCGGATAAACTCGGATATGAATGTCAAACTTACCCGGATTCGACCAGCGGGGCCCCCGCTTCCTCCGGGGAGAGGCGGCGACAACCATAGCGAGCTCGTGCTCTTTCACTTCCAAGGCCTGCGAGCACGGTGATGACAACAAAGTTGCCGGAGGAGAGGGAAGAGAGGGAGGTTGGCTCTCGAAAGAGGAAAAACAAGACAGGTCATGGCTGTCGATTGGCGCCCACGGTAGATGGGACAAACGCATGACAGAAAAACCATCGGCTCTCGACAGGGAAAAACAAAACAGGTCATGGCTGTCAACTGGCGCCCACGGTAGATGGGACGAGCACATGGAAGATAGATCGTTGTGTTTTGGATAGGAACACGACATAGGAAAACAACAGTAAATCATAATCAACGCTTACCCGCTGTAACTCTTCGAGCTTGGCCTGCCGCTCGCTTAGCAGCTCCGTAGCCTCAAGGGCGGTATCCTGAAAAAAAAACGCAATAACTCGCAGATTAGTACATCGTTAGGAAGAGCACCGTTTCACCAAACATATATTTATTAAAAATACTCGGACACTTGTAGAAGCACAACACTTCCGTTAACGTTGTACCGTGTTCGAAAACATAAGAGCCAATTGGATAGAAGCTCGAATACCACAATGGACCTCCCTACATTGCCGAACAGGGTACCTACATTGCCCAACAGAGTGGTACCTATATTGCCGAAAAGAGCGGACAGTTATTTATACAGTACATGTGGCTTCGATTTCGATAGGTTCCTGTCTTGGAGAAGAGAGGACAGACCGTACACAAGCACACCCTACTACCCGCTTACCCTGTGCTGCCGCGCCTCCTGCCTCAACGAAACCACCTCCATGGAGAGCCGCGTCTGAAGCGTGTCCGCCTCTCTCAGCTGAGACTTCACCTCGGACAGGAAGTGGCCCTGTCGCGTGCCGCACGGGCACAAAACAAGGAGAAGCGACGCGGGAAAACATAAGTGTGCCAACCAAGAATCTTTCGTTGGCTGCTGTGTGTGTATGTGTGTGTGTTTTCGTCCTATTTAATCTATTATTGCGACAGTTCCCCCATTTTTCGTGGTGAGACGTGTACTACACTTTTCAGCGTAAGAGTACTACACTTCTTCAGCGCATTTTTTCGTACAGCTACAACCATCCAAGGTATGTATATTTTCCAAAAAAAAAAAACTGCACACACGGGCAACACGCTAGAGACGTTGCGAAAAGGGGAGGAGTTTCAGCTGGCAGCTCCTCTCACACGAAAGTACTACTCTGTCGTGACTATCCTAGGGGGGTAGACTCGAGGTCCCAACTTTTGAGAAAACGGTCGGTCATACACGCGTGAGGCAGGCACTCAACGTAAAAAAAAAAACATTTGCGCGGGTTACCAAGGGAGGTTTAGCGAAGGTTGTACAATATCAAGGAACTGTCTATGCGGCGCGGGGCATCGTGTTCCGAGGCAGCATACGCAGGAAAGGGTGTCAACTACACCGTTGGAACAAAAACCCACCGGGTTTCACAAACAACCGCCTGTGGACCGACACATGAACAAATTTCGGAACCATTTTCGGAACCAAGGTGCGAGACTCCGGTGAATATGTGTGACCTGGTCGGCGAACAGCTCCCGAAGGCCTGCGTTGTTCTCCTGTACGGAGGCCATCGAAACCGATTCTTAGAACCAAGCACCAGTGAACCGACACATGGAACGGTAGAGAACCGCCTTTACAGTGGAACGCGAGTGCACCTGGTCGGCCACTAGCTTCCGTAGGCCTTCGTTCTCCTCACGCAGGGCAAGGGAGCCGCCGTGTGTGGCTTCGTTGCGGACCACCCGATTCTTGATGTTCTTGGCCCTTTGCACAAACTGAAGGTAGGGGGGAGGCATGAATGGGGAGGAAGGTGAAAGAAGGCGCGGGAAAGAGGGGAGAGAAAGATTGAGATAGAGACAGAGACAGAGACAGAGACAGAGAGGCAGACAGAGACAGACAGAGACAAAGAGAGAGAGAGAGAGAGAGAGAGAGGGAGGGAGAGAGAGAGAGAGAGAGAGAGAGAAAGAGAGAG